ATAGTTCAGACAATTACCAACAGTTAATAATGTGGTCATTCATGGGGGACAAGATTTTGGTCAAACTTTTCAAGCAAATGTTAGTGATGTAGAATGAGCAAAAAAGTGTGAAAATAAATAACTACAGTGGCTCAAAAAACTGTTTGCATGTTTTGACATTTTTCACTATCTATGATATTGTGTGAGAACTCACAAATGCCTCAAGGACATGGTTATACCACATTGTAGTATGGCTTCAGGGCTTTCATTTGAGCCCTACACCGTGGGAATCGGTGGAGATATGGTGGAGATACAAGGCTCACAAAATGGTGACTCATGCAGACAGTTTTTTGACTCAAGTATTTTACAATAATAACCAGGTATTCTAGTATTTTGTATGACCTCCCTTGGCTTTAATTACTGCCTCTATCCTTCTAGGCATACTCTCAATTAATTTCTAGCAATCCTCAGCTGTGATCTTCCCCCATTCCACTGCTACTCTCTCTCAAAGCTCCCATACTCCTTTAGGGGGGTTTTCATAGGCTTGAAGCTTTTTCTTGAGTGTTCCCCAGAGATGTTCAATGACATTGACATCAGGAGACTGTGCTGGCCAGTCAAGAACATTGATGTTATGTTCTTCAAACCATTCCTTAGCTCTTCTGGATGTGTGCTTGGGATCATTATCTCATTATCCTGTTGGAAAATGATATCTTCTTCATCAATCCCTGATTCTGCCAAGCTAGGCAGCAAGTGGTCATTTAAAATGTCCACATACTGCTCAGCATTCATCTTCCCCTCAACCTCAGCAAGCATTCCCACACCATTCCATCCCATACAGCCCCATACCATTAAAGAACCTCCTTCAAACTTGACAGTCCCATTAACCTCTCTGTCTGTTAGGCCATCTCCCTTCTTTTTCCATACATATACCTTCCCATCTGACCCAATCCTATTGATTTTGGTCTCATCTGACCATATAACATGCTTCCAGTCCTCTACAGTCCAGTGTTGATGAGCTAAGGCAAAGGCTAGTCTTCTCTGCCTATGTTTGATGGAGAGAAGAGGCTTTTTCTTCTTTGTTACTGCCTTGAGATGAGCTGCCTTGAGAACATTCCTCACAGTTTGTGAAGAGACAGGGGTAGTGATGGTGGAATTGATATAATGGGTGGCTTGGACAGCATTATCAGCCTTTCCTGTAGTGATATGTTGGATAATAGCCCTTTTGTCAGTAGAGGTAAGCTTGGATGGACATCCTCCACAAGAGTTTTCCTTGTCTGGGTGGCTTTCTTTGATAAACTTGGCCACAGTGGACTTGCATACTCCAGTTCTAGAGGAAATTTGGTGAGCAGAGAGGCCAGCATAAGACAGAGAGAGGATATTATCTCTTTGAGCAGAGGAGATGGCTTTCATGGTGATTTTGACTATGATACATGAGATATTCTGGTTTATATAGTTAGATATAGTCATAAAATAACATAATGACACCACTTCATAATTTATATAATAGTGGCATGATTTTTGTGGTGTCATAAATAATGATTTATATAGTTTTAATATACACTCAAAAAACTGTCCACATGAGTCATCATTTTATAAGCCTTATGTCTCCACCATATCTCCACCAATTCCCATGGTGTAGGGCTCAAATGAAAGCCCTGAAGCCATACTACAATGTGGTATAACCATGTCCTTGAGGCATTTGTGAGTTCTCACACAATATCATAGATAGTGAAAATTGTCAAACATGCAGACAGTTTTTTGAGCCACTGTACATCAAGACCTCAGTGTGGGAAACATCATTATACACAGGAATATTGGCATCCTCATTGATTGGGACCTAGCAAAGCTAACTACCATCCAGGGTTCTCAACAAATGAACCATACAGTATGTCCATTGCATTCCTAAGCTGTATATTTTGTGATGTTCTTTCTGTCACCAAGGGAACCTGGAAATTTATGTCTGCCTACCTCATCTCACATTCACATGCCATTCATCATGTTGAGGACAACCTTGAATCCAGTCTTTATGTCCTTCTGTGAATGACTTTAAAATACACTATCACTTACATGAATATTGAGGACTGCACACAACTTGTGACACAGGTCTTCAATAAAGGATCCTTGAAAGAAGGTTGGCTCCTGATGAGAACTCACCTTCCACATGATGTGTTTTTCAGTCACAAATCACTCAACAATCCAGTCATTGAACTCTGTATGTTCTTCTTGCATTGGTATACTAAGATCCCAGATGAAGAGAAGGTTTCACTTGCACACAGAAGGGCCACTGTACATGGCTGTATGGCATTTCATGGAAAAATCTCTGGCCAACAAGAATGAGATGGAAATGAAGCTCCTCACCTTACACAACTCCATTATCAGCATTTACAACAAGTATCTTCAAATACCTGGCTGGCCTGAAGACCCTGCTATAGAACAAGCAGTACTTCAGAACAAACCAGGTGTTCACATGATCACAAAGTCAATACTGACTTCATGGTGTGATAGTTAAGTTTTCCTTGGGCTTAGATTTACTTATTTTCATTACCTTCTCTTATCCCCACTTTCATTAGTTTATGTTCGCACTTTTGTAGTTTATATAAGCATTACATCTTACCTTCACTCTTTACCTGTAGTTTGAGACTACTCATTTTATGATTATTTCCTCTACTATCTGAGCTCTGAGTCTAGTATAGAAACCCTTGTGAGTCAAATAGCAGCTAGGCATAGCACTTTAGACCCAACATATTGGCTAGGTACTGTACCAAGTATCTAGCCAAGTTGTGTTACTTATAGTAAGTAGAAGTCACCCTGACTGGCAAGAGACATAGGCTAGATGACATTGTGTCTGAAGATGTCAATGTGTCAGAAGATGTCAATGGATCACTTGATAGTGATGGAAGGCCCTCAGTGACTAGCCTGGATGAACTCTCATTCCTGAGCTCTGATTTTAATCTTTGACACCTGCATATGCCAGATTACCCTTCTCAATTTCGCATTTCCACTTAGTATTTACAATACCCTCACACATGTTCTCTAGTACTATCATATGATGAATCATCTTGATGCATGAAATGTGATTCTAGTCTTACTGACTACCTTGACTGCCTTGTTTACTTCAACCACTCACCACTTGCCAGCAGCATCCTAGTTGTATGAACACCCATGTTCTTGCTTCTTTCCTTTTTCAACATTTTATTTTGTGAGATAATTACTACTACTGGCTCAATTCAGTTTGCACTCGTCAGTTTGCACATAGCACACTGTGGCAGCTGAGCCTGAAATTGTGGCAGAGTTTGATTATGGTAGTCATTCACTATATAGGTGTTCCTTCCACTTAATTTGGCTCTCTTTATCTTTCTTCCTGACTATTTGTTAGTTATAATTTGTTACAGTTGTATATTGTGTTTCATAGTAGATAGTAGTTGGTATATAGATTTACAAAGACTCAATCAATGACAAATGATGTAGTTAGCATGGGGAAAAACTCCAAGAGAAGACCTGAGCTGGTATGCTTGGGCCCAAGGCTTCATTGTCCACTATAATGGAATAGTCATAAGGATGTCCTTAATCAAACAAATATTGTAATTTATACCCATTCAGCAATGCTTTAGACTCAACTATGTTATTCTAGGTCCAAATCACTCACAGGTGGGTGCCACACTAGCAGGCACTGAGCAGCATAGATTGTGAAATGGAGATCTCCTACAAGAGTCTCCAGGGCAATCAAACATTGTATTTTAGTAAATACACCCAGTACTTTCTGATTCTATAATTCTCACTCTTTTTTTTACAGTACATAACCCTCCATTAACACATTTTCTATCTTATTGAGAGGTAAGATTAGCAATGGTTTCAAACTTGATCATTATCTAATATTCATTTAGATGCCTAGCCAAACTTTTCTCTGCAAATGCACACAATGTTATGATGTTGGAGTGGATGGTGTGCCTAGAAATGCTAGTGGCAAAGACTTGCCCATTACCATAAAGCATGTACATCTAGTGCATGCGGTCAACATGGCAACCTCATCTGAACATGCAAGTTCTATACTTTATCTTACCCATCAAACCTTTCTCCAGCCCTGCCTAGATCATGAAACATTGTCCCCTCAATATTTCCAAGGTGAGCACCCAATTCATCAGTCTGAGATGTTGATACTGGTAGATAATCTTGCTGCTGGACTATTTGCTATGACCTTAATCAATAACAAAGCCAATTCAGATGGTCACCACAAATTGTGGGTTTTGTGTTTGAAAGTCCAATGAGGCAAGGAAAATGCTCACCTGGATGCTGAACTCACTGTTAATGACACAAGAGTCTGATACATATGTCACATGCTTCAGATGTGCTAACTTTATTTCAAAGACATATCACCTGCGCTCTTCAGGCTGAAGAAACTTTGAACATAATGGAGTCACAGATGGAAAGGACTCACATCCAGCTTTCCCATGCAACATCTCATGATGTATTGGGCTGTGACAGTCAAGTTTTCCTTGGACTTAGATTTACTTACTTTACTTACCTTTGCCCACCCCACTTTCATTAGTTTAAGTTCGCATTTTTGCTGCTTACTTAAGCATGTCTCTCTTTCACTAGTATCAGTACCAGTCTGAATGACAGTCCTTTTTGATGATAATTTCTACTCTTTGAGCTATGAGCTAAGTTAGAATCCCATGGGCTGAACATACTGCTCTTCACTCAGCAGCTTGGCCAGCTGTCTGTGATGATCAGAGCCCTTGCAAAAGTGAAAAACAAGGTCTCCTCCACTGTCTCTTGCAGGACTCAACTGGAGACATTGTGTGATGAAATGCAAAAACTCTTTCTCAGCAAGGAGGATGGGCTTCCCATGTTGTCTGAGCCAGTTGAATTTGATATCATGAGTTTTGTTTATTCCTACATTCTGCCTGACCCACTAACATCAAATACAGCACATCATTACCATCTGCCTATTGATTACTGTGACAAGATTGCCCAGGTATATTGGTGCTATGTGATTCCTAAAAATCAGTTCCATGCAGTGAGTCTTTAACCTTTTTGACTATCCACCTCTTCACAAGGATGATATCTCTCTCAAGATGAAGGTCAAGCTGTTCTATTTTTTATGCAGCAGGAACAACAATGCCCTATACTCTTATAGTGGTGTCACAGTGTGGTGGAATATGATGCCTCCAAGTGATTCTTTCAAGGCTGATCAGGTGATCCAAGACATCATTAACTTGAATTCATACATTACTGTAGGTATGAAGGCAATCATGGATGATGTCATTGGTCCCTTTGCAACACTCCTACTTGACGATTTGAAGACTGGAGGGTCAGAAGGTTGGCAATATATGAAAAACTTCGACCAGCACTCAACTCACACTTATATGCAGTTCAAGTATATATCAAGCCCAAGCCTTGGTCTACCCAACAAGTCTCTCTTGACAGATGTTGTTGACTGGTGTGAAACTTCAATAAATCCACCAGCTGGTATGATCGTGTGCTCTCTGAGACCATTTTAGAGGCAGTTGCTTTTGGTTGGCATCCTGGACCTAACCTGCCTCCCATGCAATGGTTTTGCATTGAGTGTGTATGCACTTATAAATCAAGCCAAGATGACTGATGTCAGCACCTTTCTGATATTTTGCAGTGGCAGTGCCAATGGGATTGGGGCTTGCATGGAACAATATATTCACAAGATTACTAACAAAGATGCTATCACTACATACAACTCCAGAGTGATGGCCATTGAAGTTAAGGTGGATAACTCTGGTATGGTCCATATGGACATCATTACAGACAACAAGGATCATCACAAATTCTCACATGTCATCTCTACTGTCCCCTTACCCATTCTCCATATTACTGACCTCAGAAAAGCTGGTCTCTCCAATGCAGTTGAATGCTCTATGAACACTGAATTATGGTCTCTCCATTAAGATCGGAATGCAGTTCAGAACTGCATGATGGACAACCAGGATGGATTTATGTGGAAATCCTCTGAATATAGTTGGAGAGCAGACATGTACCGACAGGCCTTTGCACACTGTCATTTATCCTTCCTTTAGAATTTGTCCAGGCTGGGATGATGACCATGCTTATTGCCAGCTATTGCTGGACAGAGGATGCTACTAGGCTGGGTGCATTGATATGCAAAGACGATGCAATGCTGGTACAGCTTGTGATGAAGGAGCTGTGTCATGTCCCACAATCTGGACCCATATTCCATCATATTCCCACACCTTCTGAGCCTATGTCCAGACCCCATTTCATATCTAACTCATTCCTAGTTCTCCCTCCACTGTCTGCCCTACACCTCAGCAGGATCAGCTCCACTGTGGAATTACCCCTAAGCTCTGGACCATCAGATCTCCACTGCTAGCCTGATCCATACCCCCCTATCCTATCCATCCTATGCACACTCCATCCAGCAAGACATCCAGACTTCACCTCATCTCAGATTCTAGACTACATCCACCTTCTCATATATCAGTCCTGTATCTACCTCATCTTCCAGATCCCCAGATCTCTGGATATTAACTCTGGACCTATTCCCACCCTCTGTCTAATATCCTGCACCTATCCCCATTTAGGCATCTCTGCCTTTCTGGCTTTCGGTTACCTCTTGTTCCATCTTGCTTACTGATCCTTGTATAAGTCTTCATTTCCAAGTTCATTTAGTAGTGTTCCATCTTACTTACTAATGTGTTTCCACATGCTTGTACATAGCCCTGCTCCTTTGCTTACTGGTCCCCTCAGATATTCTCCAGTATATAACCCCTGTACATACTCCTGTAGTTTCCTTAGTTTGAATATCATCTTAGACTTTGATCTACCTAAGTCTGTCCTATCCATCAGGCCTAGGGATTGATTCCCTAGGCCAGAGCTTTGCCTTTCTAGCACTTACCCTCTTTCCAGACTTAGGTCCAATCCCTGTCTCTCCAACTCTACCTTAGGGTAGTCTATCTCTATTTGTTTCTATATTGGACTTCATCCAATGTAGCCCCTATTCCTTCCAGACCTCTGGGTGTCCTGTCCTTCAGATGTCCTGCCCTCCATACCTATGGACATCCTGTCCACCTGTCCTCCTGTCCTCCAGGCCTTCAGACCTCCTATCCTCCCATCCTGTCTCCTGTAGAAGTATTACTTTGTAGTGAGAACTCACCTGAGCACTTCCTGCATTCCCCCAGAACTCTCCCACACTCCTCTAGAAGTCCTCTAGCACTCTACTAGAGTAGCCAGCCTCTGGAAGTCCTCCAGACTTTGTCAGACCATTATCAGACCTCATCTGAAATGAAGGGCACATAGTCAGGTAAGGGGCACAGCGTATGAGCTGAGGCCAAGCCCTTCTGAGTCAGTCTCTGTCTTCACTTTGAGCAAACTGGTTCTTAACAAGCTGACAGATTCACACAACATTGATATAAACTATCTACATAACTAGCTGATCAAATGCAATGGATGGAGTTGGTCCCACAATCCATATACAATGGGTCAGCACCATGCACCCTCAAGTCTTCAATTCAATTGTCTCACTTGTATTTTGTTTTCAAGGTGCCCTTGCTTTCTTTGGACCAGGAAAGTTTGGAAATATTTACATGAGCCTCAATAATCCTGCTGTGGGGGGTTATCTTTATTTCACTGGCAAAGCCATCAGTGTATGGCATGCTTGGGTAGAGGGTGCATTGGATGGCACTTGGAGAGCTGTCCTTGAAATGCTTGTTTTCCCTGCTTTTGAATCCTACCGAGACAAGTTCTTTGAGAATTGGGAAGTAGATCCTGAATGGGTTGCACAGAGTGCATTGAAAGCACCTACCAATCATTGTGATGACATCATCAAACAAAGGGTACATAAAGCCAACTATATGTGCAACATGAGCTAACATGAACAAGCATATAGTACATCTAGCTGCAGGAGCTGCAAAAGATGCTGGGCACCCAAGGCATCAAGATCATTGATGACCAGAAGGAGTCTGTACTGGGTTACAAGCAACTTGCCAACCTGAACATTCTGCAGAGTTCAAGAAGATCCCAGATGACAAGAAGCTGAATTTATTCAAAGGCCTGCTCAAAGGTTCACATATCCTCTTCTCAGTGACCTGCTATCAGATGCTAACTCTAGACAGAAATCAACAGCCTTATGAAGTAATCAAACATTTCCAAGAACATGTTCCTCAATATGTACAAGGTCCTTGCCACAGTACCAGATTCATATCCCCTGCTTGAAGCTGCTGTTGTGCATCTCACACATATACTTCATTTCTCCACACATTCACATGTGTGCAGGACCAAACAGTCAAAGCCACAGAGGCTCATGCACTGGAGGCCGAAGTTACTCAATTGCGTGGTGAGAACACTAGGTTTTGACAGTCATCTAGTACTTTTAATGTGTTCAAACACCACATCAAACAGCTGGATGCACATATGCATGAGCTTGTTGTGCAGGGGTCTGAGATCAATGCTGCGTATGATGAACATATGCCTAATCACACAGAGCACTACATGGCATGTTGTTGGTTTAGGTTGGTGTTTTGCAATTGCACAGTGCCAATGGAGGTTCAGGGAATGGGACTTGCAGCACAAGGTTGCATTATCTAGTAGGGACCAAGTGCATGACCTCTGACCATCAAATGAATTAAATCAGGCAAACCTTTTTCATCACAGCCAGCATCAGGGTGAGCTATGCTGCATTCCTTCCTCCACTCCCTTCTGTTTGCTTCATTGTTATACCTTTTGTCTTGCACACTGACACTTCTACTCAGACCACAAGATTATTTCCTGTCTTGCTAAAGCTGACATGATCATGGCCAACTTGGAACACACAAATAGCAGGGTCACAACCATCAAGCAGCAACATATAAGTTTTGTCAGCCTCTATCCCTTGTTCATCAATTTGCTGTTTTTCTATACTATTTGTTACACATCATTTTGCATGTATGCACCCCAAGTTACCACACAGCTGTCATATACTCTATTCTATTGGGTTGGCATATGGCCGCCCCCCTTTGTTGCTATGCGCACATTTTACCCTGCTATTTTCCTTCCAGTTACCACAACTTCTTTGTATGCTTTGCCCCTTTGAAATTCAATTGACATTGACTTTTCCCACAGGAAGCGCTCTGTGGAGAGATCAAGACATTGGACACTGGCAGTGAAAGCAGCAATTTGTACGTCTGTTTCCCATCTTTCATTCCACTTCTCCCTCTGCCCACTCTTTCTGAGTATTTTTGCTTGTCTATGTGCTCTCAATTCAACTGATGTGCATATATTTAACAGCATTGGATCTCTAACATTTTGTCTGTCAGAGCTTGAGTCTGAGTGCACGAGACTCAAAGGTGCCATTGATGTTGCATGAAATGCTGCAGCACAATCAGAGGAGTGGATTTTAGAGAAAGTTGCTTTTGTTTTGAGCCCAGCAATACATGATTGATTGACAATAACAATAGATATTGCACATGCTCACAAAGCAAATGCTGCTCTCACAGAAGTAGATGCTCTGACGACAGAACTAATAACATACAGAGACTACAATGAGCCATGAAGCAAGAACTGGAGATTCTGAAGATGCACCTTTCCCTCATGTGTCATTCTCATTGTGTCAACCCCATGATAGTATGTTGAATTCACAGGTCTTGACCTGGATAATGATTGGTCAAGTCCTGACAAAGACAAAAATGAGGACTACATGTATCTGCCAAATCCAAATGTGGACAAGGCAACTGTACAGCATGTCAAGAGTCTTGAGGTGCTCCTCACAACAAGAATAAATGGGAAGAGTTGACTCAATTTAGGGAGTATTTACTGTTAATTTTGGCCTCTATGTTATGCTTCATTCAAACTTTTTGTTCCACAGATCCTCCACAGATCACTTGAAGCTTCCCTCAAAAGCACACAGGACAACCTTGCTGACACATGCAGAACTTGCCAAGTAACAAATCCTATGTGAGAAACTTGAGACAGATCTGCTTGCTCTGAATACCAATAGTGGAAGCAGGCCAAGAGAGGAGGGTGGGGAGAGTAGGGAGAGTAGGGAGAGTAGGATTTTGGGGCTGGAGCTCAAGTTCAGCTTATAGACCAAGGTGTGTCTACATTTGATTCTGGTGGTTGATACAATTGATATCACAGGACATAGCAGGCCCAAGCACCACATGCTAAACACTGATACCATTCACATCATCCGCTGATACATCAGTCCTTCCTTTTATGACCAGCCAGTGGGATTGTTTCCAGCAATGGAACACAGAGCTTGAGGAAGTCAGTGCCAGGTGTCCCATTTGCATTCATGTCTCTACTCCACCTCTTGTGTTATCACTCACCATGCCCCATGTTAATCCATCCCCAGGAGCTCCACAAACACTACCATGCCATCTCTGAACTCCACACTGAAGTCAGATATCTCCAATCTGAAAACCTCAAGCTCTGCAAGGAAGTCTATTGCATGTAATCATACCGCAAACAAGGCTCTCAAATAACAATGCAACTATTTGGGGTAAATGGAGGTCAAGCATCAAATTGAAAGCTCCTCATGCAGCTGTCCAAAAGCTAGGATGATGAGATTGGAGATGGGACCACTGGTATTGTCAATGTGATCCTCACTTGTGACCATCTCTTTCCTCTTATCAAAATCCATTTGAAGTACTGGCTGGTGCACTTTTGGAGCAGAGCAAAGATCTACTAGAATCCATATAGCAGATAGCTTTGACCAGGCCTGTGCTGTTGCCTGCAAGAAGCTCGACAGCATCTCACATCATGTTGACTTCTCACCCAAGAACAAAGAAAATCATCCCAGGACTGCAATTACCTGTCTAGGCAGCAAAATGTGTGCCAGTCCTTTCTTTCTTTCCTTGAATATGCTTTAAATTTGGCCTAGCATGTTGAAGGAGCTGCAGCAGTTCACTTAGATCATGGTTGATGCTGTTCTAACAGTTGCAGACCTTGAACATCGTAATGTTCCCTTTGATCTCATCAAGGTCAACAGCAAAGTTGGTAGCTGTCTTGCTGACACACACAACACTGATCAAGGGCATTCTCATCAACAAAGATATGTCCCACTAACAAATGCCCCTTTGTGTGCATGATGCATGCCTCATGATCCTCACCTGACCCTTTGAGCCTCCATGACCCAAGACTAAGCATAAGCTTGAAATCACATCTGTAAAGATGTTTAAGCACCTCTGGGATTATGAAAAGGAGAAGTGTGATCGAATCATCCCCTGATTCAAGGATTTTACAGCACAAAAACTTAGAAAGGTAGGCATTGTGTTGGCATGACCTGCTCTTTGTTGAAGAGTGTGCTAACTTCCATGGTGTCACAATCTTTGTGTGTGGAAGCAATAATTAATGGTTTGCCTGCATTCACTCCCAGTGCACTCATCAGTCTTAGTCAAGATCACAGCTGACAGAATGACTAGGCTGCTAAGCACTGAGCATTGAGCTAGTAATTTAAGCAAGGTTCAAAGAATGAATGCCTCAAAGTCAGCCCTGAACTGCTTCTTCCTTTGTCAAATAGGATTCATATTCTGCACCAGGAAAACCTGCTACATGTCTGTCTACCTCATCCCTGTTTGTGCACACTTGGAGTGAGTGTGTCATATGCCATTCTGGACTCTCAACTCTAAATCCAAGATCTGGATCTCAAATGATCTGATCTATCTTTATCTCCCTTCCGGAATCCAAACCCTATATCAGCGCCCAACCCCATTTAGACTGCCCCTGTCTCCAGACTCCAGTTAACCATGTTTTCCTTTTGATTATTGATCCGTTACATACATTTCATTTCTGGTGTTCATTATTTGTGATCTGTCCTACTTACCAATAGACTCTGCATATGCATCATACATAGCCTTTATGTTTGCTGACTGATTCCTATATGATACCTACAGTATATAAACCTCCTGTAACTCTCAGAAATACTCCAGTTCAAATATCATCTTAGTTCCTGCTCATTCCTGTGTCCTCCGGACTCGAGATAAGTCTCTTGTCATATTCCGAGTCTTAGGATTGCATCCTAGGCTACATTTCCAACTCTACCTTAAGGGTAGTCCATCCTCTGTTAGTTTCTAGTCTGGACTTCGTCCAGATTAGTCTTATCCACTTGCCCAGGTAACATCCAGACGTCCGTCGGATTTACCTCACATTTCAGATCTGGACGTCTGTTATCCGCCCTAGTCAAAACCCGGAAACTCCAGACAACTGTTCTAGCCCCTGGAAATTAAGGGCACATACTTGGGAAAGGGGCACAGCATATGAGCTGAGGCCAAGCCCTTGTGATCCGACCCCCTTGAGCACGTGACCTTAACAGAGTGAGTAGAATGGTAAATAAATAAGAGCTCACCAAGAATTGAAACCACCTGATATGTGCCCAATTCTGACAGCATAGTACACATGGCAGGGGTTAGAAGCCTCCATGTTCTAGATTAAATGCAGAAAGGTGCAAAAGTAAACAAAGGTTGCTAAAGTCTAGAAGGAAAACACAGCTCACTGTAAAAGGTTGATTGGTATGAGATGATGTGGTAGACTCATATGCCAGAGGCAGGTCAGTAGTCACCCCATGGACAGCAGGGTTAATACGAGTAGTCAGGGTGGTGGCTGCTATGGCTGCAGCATAGGGAGGTAGAATATCTGAATCTAGATTTCTTGGATGAGATCTAGACGAGTTGGTTGGGCCTTGATGATACTGCCATGGGGGAATAGTGTGTCTATTAACAATTGGGTTTTCGTCATCTTGATAAGTCATCATTTGTTGGATGAAAATAAGTGGCAAGTAAGTTGGGTGCCAACTCAGCAATGAACCATTTCCATGCTATAAGCACCAATCAACAAGAGCATATTCAGCCCAAACATGATGGATGTGGCACTCAATGTCTGCACCCTTGTTCCCATCTGTCCATGAGGTATGTTCTGTGCAAAGGGTTGGGAGGAGGTGATGTAGCCACAGAGATACAAGGCAGGTAAGGGATAGGTGGTAGTTTGAAATATAAGTAGCAAGAGATGTGGGGATTGTTGCACTGGTGAGAAGGGAATTGAATGGGTAGGAAATTGATTTGGTGGTTGTGGCCTCTGAATCTGGAGTTGAGGATAGGACTGAGGAAGGAATTACCATCCCAAGCTAACCATGTGCTGCAACAATATCAGCAAGAAGGATGTGAGCAGGATTTTGGAAGTCAGGATCTGCCTTGTGTCAGTAAATGTGTGCATAGCTTGAATTAAATACACACCAAATAGGACATCTGCCTTGTCTACACCCACTGTATGTTCTGCAAGCCTATCTTAGGCCTGCCAACCCAGAACTCTCATGGTGGTTCTTTATTGCCCCTGTCTTCATCCTTTATATCTTTGTGATCTTTGGATTTTGGTTTCCCTATCCTTATTGCTTGCTCTCTTGCTTGCTCCTCCCAGTTCCAGCCTCTCCTACACTCCATCTCATTGGTGTACCCACTAGTAGGTCTACTAGTTTTGACCCATGAGAAGATTTTGAGATGATGAACCTGGTGTTACTTGCAGCACTGGCTTCCTCAAATTTTTGTTTTGTTTTTGAAGCAGTTCCACTAGACTTGGCTGTACTTGGTGTGTTCACCTTGCTAGTGCACATGACATGCAACTTGATGGCATGGGACAAGCTCTTTGCAAGCTTGCAAGTTGGTGAGTGAGTTCATGTGTAGGCACAAGTATGAGCACATGTGGATTTAAAAGCTTGCAAGATGAATAGTGGGCAACAATGTTGGACTGTTTGTGCTCCATGCATTTGAGATCCTGCAGTACCAGAAGGAGGTACGCTATTGACTTTCCTGACCCTGTCTCACTAGCAAAGACCCCCTTGTACTTCTCACCTTTTGCATATTTCTTGAAAAATTACCTCATTTATGACACTTGAATAGCAGTTGGCTTTGCCCCCTTTTCTAGTGTCCCCTGCAAACCTGACAATAGCCCAGGTATTAAGGGTGAAGAAGAGAACTGAGTGGGGAGGTCTTGGCTTGAAGATGCAGCTGGTGCAGACAGATCAAATTTCTCTTCTAAGGGATTGACTTAAATGGGAGGTTGATGTGCTAAAGCCTAATGTTCTGAGTTGGGGAGGGTGAGTCACCCCAGGGCATGGTGCTATCAGGTGTGCACCTATTTACCAGACTTTGCATGCATGGTGCATCTGCAGGACTGCAATGGTAATAGACTGCTTGAATGAACATAATTTGGTGCTCATCTGGACAGAACAAGAGAGCTTCTCTAAGTAGCATTGCAGAATTGCATCACGAAGCTATTGACCTACCACCTTGAGCAAATAGCAAACAAGAGAAATTTTCAGTGTGGCTGCTTGAAAAGTTGATGTCTCTGCATACAAATTGTACCATTGGCATAGAGTTCCACATGCTGGGCCATTGAAGTTTCTCTCAGAGGTTCCATTATACCAGGAGTGAACAACCAAATCATAGGGGGCCCCTAATCATTGACCTCTTGAACATTCAAGAAGTTCAAGACTTTGAGGGTGTGTGGCTAGATCATGCATTCAATGAGACCACAGCTGATATGATAGGTAAATGAATGACACCCATATTCTGGCACCACACTGTCCTATATGAGGGTTGGGCTCCTTATCAATGATGTAAACTGGAATGCATGAGGACAACACAGTTAGCAAATATGCTGCAGGAGGATAAGTCGCCCTGCTTTGCATGGGGCAAGGTCAACCCATGATCAATGAATGGACCAGTGAAACATGCAGTAAGCCACCACTGCAGCTTTCAGATAAGGGGATTTGGGATGGTAGAATCTCCATCAGCATATGAGTCCCCTAGTGTGAGGTAAGTAAGTCCCTTGGGCACCTGCAGAAAGGGTGCTCACCGCAGCAGAATGATCTGGTGGCAAAATCAATCCCAAGTGAGATCCAGTGCTTCTGTTCATTGAGAAAGACAGTGGCATAAAGGATCCTCAGAATCTCCAGAATTTTCTCAAGCTCCTGCAGCATGTGACTCACCCTCCCTTTGAAGTGTGAGGCATTCTTCACCTTATTGATCTCCAACATGAAGGTCATATTGACAATGAGGGCATTGGAGCTTACAGGGCTTGCCTTGCAGATACAAGAGGCAATGCAGGCTGACATTGAGTCCATTAAAGTACCCAACATCCAACAGCTACTGGACAGGAAGCCTACAAGTACCATGGTCATTATTGATCCAGATGCAGCTGGGCCAAGTAGCAGTCTGTCCCAGGGGAGAAGGGTCAGGTGTCTGTGCACCCTAAGGAATATCACTGTATCTGGGCTGCCTTCCTCTATTTGGTTTTGTAACCAGTTGTTCCCCTCCACTCAAACAGGTTTAACCCCATGCATGCTGTAGGGAATGAGATTCCTCCAGGCATATATCGCCTATATTACGACTCATGACAATTGGTACAGTGTATGACTCACCCTCCATGACTTTCCCGCAAAACATGCCAGAGGCGCGATGCATTCCCGCACTACACATCACCTTCCCATGCATGCGCTTAGCGCGCTCTTCCCACACTCAATCGCACTTTGTCGTGCAGCATCCTGGAGCATCCATCCATCATCCAACCAGTTCCCTAGTGAGTCCTTTCTTGTTTATTCTCATTATCAGACCATATTTAGTATTAGTATGACATTATTTCGTCATGGACCCTTACTTACATACTTAGAGTACTCCCTATTCGCTTCCGAGCCCTGGGAGTGCACCTAGGCATAGCTTACCTGTGGCCTAGGAAGTTTTCATATACCTACCACCACCACAGAATACAGCAACCACCATCATGTCTAGTAGCATCTAGTAGTCAGAATCTATCATCTTCAGCCAGCATGCTATAGTCATCGCCCTAGTCTTCAGCAGCAGCCAATCATCATCTCTTACACATTCACGCACTGTGTGCGCCCTATTCCCATGCTTCACACACCTATGTGCTTGATATTCCCGCACATGCGCTTTCAGCGTGCTTCACCAGAGTTGACCTGGTGTCACTTTGTGGATTTGCTTTCCTTGCTTCCCTTAAGGGTCAAACACATCACTCAGCACACTTTGACTAACACTTAGAGAGTCAGTAGCCTTCCTCTCACTACCAGAGTGAGAGCCCCTTCTTTCTTTCTTTAGCTCTGCAAGTCCAGCAGAGTTGTTGAACCTTCAGCACTGTACAATTCCTTCCACAGTGTGATGACACAGAGAGGTAATGGGTGGGATGCATAGTGCAAATTCCATATCAAACACTTCCCATCCAACAGAGCTTGTCCAACAGCCCTATATGCATCATCAACAAACTGCTTGGGGGAAGATCTTGCAACATCAACATCATCAGGTTGTATTGGGCAGGTATAGTTTGAAAACATGACTCAGCCTTCTCCTCAATATCTCTCAACAAGACACTTTGCAGCTGAAACTCAAGGAAACAGGAGACTGGAAGGTTTGGATCAGGAAGCACAGCTGCACATATCTCATTTGGAACAGCCATAGTCGCATCATAAAGTGACTCCAGGTCATCTGGAATGTCTACTGCAGTAGCTGGGAACATTATCCCTTTACTAATCCATGTGGCAGCTGCTGGATGCATGACTATGCCAGGACAGAAATCATTGTCTTCAGAGATGGCACTATCAGCATCTATGTGATCGCCAGTGTCACTATCTGAGGATAGAGCAATTGTGCTAGGTAATTTGCAGAGCTGCTGGAAGCTACTTTCATTGTAATGTTTGTCCATGGAACCAGTTGCACCTGAGGTGTAGGGTTAGACAAAATGGTAGCAAAGCACTTGGAGCAGAAAATGTTTAGATGATGAAAGAGTCACATTCAAGTTATGAACATAAGACCCAGTACAAGGAAGGTAGGTAGAGAAATACAGAATGTGTAGAATGAATACCTATCCAGTTGGTAAGTCAGATAAGTACCAATATCTCAAATTACTCTTGGCCTAAGTGTTTCTGTTTTCAGTAGCTGTGAAGGGGTCAAACAATCATTTTTTAAAACTCCACTTGCCTGACCATTTCTCCATGCATGTTACCTGAATATCCTGAATTGGAATCTCAGTAACATGTGTTGCCAAAGATAAGAATGATTGATTTGATCCCTGGTGTGAGCTCCTCTTCTGGAATATCAACCCCTTCCCATGACTGTTCAGAGGGTGGAGTGTGAAAATTGGTTGATAGGCACTGGTGACCAGCCCATGAGGTCAACATGTAATGCAAAGCGAAGAGTGGTTCTCAGAGTAATGTGATGTATAACCTTTTTTGGGGATATCAGAGACTCTAAATAAGTACTCCTTGTCTTTGAGGTGTGGTGTTGAAACACTGATATACATCCATATAAATCCAACTCAAAGTCCTCTAGAGACTCAACAGGACAAAGAACTTGCCCTCCTTTATCAGCGCATGCTGGATGTGCATCTCACCCCTAGTCACCATCCAGGAGTCTGAAGGATGTCACTTAGTTCCTGATTATGCAGCACCTGCTATCAGTCATGGTATATCATTAACATAAAACTAAACAGCTTGCTCACTGTCAAGCCTACTGACAATCACATGTCAGAAATGCAACTCAAGCACTGGAAGATGAAGATTAACTCACTACATGACCTGTATGGTCATTCACCACTGTCTCACAACAATCCTTGGACAGAGGTCGACTTGACTCAAAAACTCCATGGAATGAATGGTGACCATGCAGCAGACCAGAAGAAAATCTTTATCAGGCATTGGTTAAAGCCTTCTTCAACAACTGTGCATCTGATGATGCTGTAATTTCTCTTTGTGCTGATGCTCACTCATCAAAAATTGCATCAGCAGGTGCCCAGGACATCTGGGACCAGTTGTTAGTCGGGAAAAGGGCTGTCAGCAAGGAAGCTTTCAAGATACCACCTAAAGAAAAGAAAAAATTGACAGCTTACACCAAAGTCATCTCAAACCACTTAGTTGAGACTAGTTAAGATGTACTGATAGATTCAAGCTAAATGTGCCAAGCCGGTAAGGTCTGCCTGATGATGTGGCTGGTTGTGCAGGCAAAAACAATAGTAGCTAACCATAGGGTCATGAACCTCAAATCAGTCCCACATGTGCCAGCTCACACAGTCACACAAAGTGCATGAGCACGGGAAGAATATGATGTTGGTGGTAGTCTTCAACAGAAATGCATGTAACAGTAGCATTCTGCCATCACTCAATGGTAGGCCATCCAGTCCATATTGATGTCAGTTTGTATGCATAATCTCGTGTGTATATGGAGGTGGATACCTTGTCAATAGCTAAAATTCATACTTGGAACTATGTACAATTAAATTTGATATGAGCTGTTAATGGATACAAAGAAATATGGCTCCAACAATCTAATCTTCATCTGCCTCTGCATCCCATGTCTTAAAACCAGCAAGTGTTCCCCACTCAAATTGAACCAGGTGAAATGGTAATGGTGGGGGAGTGGCCTCCCTCAGCTCCACAGTGGTGGAGTCACATGCACTAACAGGCAACATAAAAGGTGTTGCAGTGCATGATGGAGAGGGAGAGAAGAGGGGAGATGTCAGACATTCTGGGGTTGAAGGGGGTGATGGGGTACCCAAGAAGAGATAAGGCATTCATAGGGCTACCCTCTTGATACTGGTATGGTAAGAACATTTCTGGGTTGAAGGAGGTGAAGGGTTTGATGTGGGGTTTGGTACTTATAAGAGTACCCTCTTAACATGAACTGGTGGAGGCACACATGGCTTCAAGATTACTGTTAAGTGATAAGAGGTGAGGAAAGGTGATGACATACCTTTTCAACTGTAGGGTCTGCATTGTCCATAAGCCATTTGTGTTTTGGTATTTGTGACTGTGACAAGGGAGCAGGTTTGTGGCAGATCACAGTCTTGGGATGAGAGGAGTTTTTGTGAGAACTTCCAGACTTGTGATAAGAAGTGACCATGGTGGAGGTGTAGTAGCTGAGGATGAAGTTGAGAGGGAGAGCATCCAAAATTCACAATCAAGTGGAGCTGTGGATCATGTGAACCTAGTCTGCCAAGGATTTCATACAACAATCAACTCCTGTGTTCACCAAGCTTGCCAGGAATACAGATGGTCGCATGGGTATGATTATAACTGGCAGGTAACAGGTTTAGGTGACTTTGAAGTGCTTTCATGGGTTCTTGAAGAACAGTTTTGAGAGTCATATGATGAAAATCCAGTGTCAGGTTGGTGATACAAAGTTCAAGGGTACGAAGATCCTGAGATACAAGCTTAGAAGTCCCATGTAATGCAGGCATATAAGATATGTGAGGTATGGTAGGAGATGTGTGAGATGCGGAAGCACCCTAAGACTATTGTGTCCTTCAGGGAATGAGCATGCCTCTGGGAGCTGGAGCGTCATATTTTTATTCTATCCCAAGCAAACACAGAACCCATGCAAGAGGGCACAGAAGATAAAGCAAAACTTTATAACCAAGGGCATCAAAGGGTAATGCCTGTGTATCGAAACTCTTACCATAAATACCCTGCCCTGCTTCTTGGTTGTATACAGCACCTGCAACAGGTAAAGTCTTCTCTATCAGTAGAAAGTCAATGCCTTCCTGTTCACCATTGTTAGCTTTCTCGATATTCTCAAGTGTGCTGTTTAAGACAAGTACCATCACCTCAACCTCTTTGGCACAAGTCTTGGGCATGGCAGTCAGTACACATGTGGCATATTGAGCAAGGTCCTTCATTGTAATATTCTCAATAAGACTGAACATCATTATGGAGAATAGCTTATGAATCAGTGTAGAATACACCTTCAACACACATGGGCTGATTCACTGAGAGGTCACCCCAGATGTGGTGCATGAGGTCTGCCACTGAGGTGTCAACCAATGGACTGATTTGTGATCACAAGTGTGGGGAGTGAGTAAATTTGATGTGTAAGGATGGAACCATGACTTACATTCAAAATAGCTCCCTGTGATTAGCATTAATGATCTAAAAACAGATAAACAATTATTGCATTTTGCTCACAAAGTGCTTGCCTTCCTTGTTTATTTTTATGTTCATTCCATACCTCCAGATCAGATGGCCAGTACTTACATTCATCAACATTGTCCTATGGAACTGGGATCTCATAAACCCAGAACTTACTGTCACAATAGAAAACATGCATTTCAGTGTTGAACTCTTCTCAGGCACAGAGGACAAGCAGAATTTTTGGTTTGGTAACACAAAAGTTGAGATGTTGGGTGTGGAGATGCTCCACCTTTTCAACAAGTACCACAGTCTCCCCAATGTTTCTGACTTCACATCTGTCTGCAAGATCTTGTAGACCCCTTCACATTCTACTGGCAAGTGCAGCCTTGGTTCAATGGAAGTGCTGGTGGATCATCTAGCCCAACATGGGTTTTTGAAGACGGTCATGACACTTCCATGCTTGACCTCAGTGGACCATTGGCTGGCCAAGGTAGCGTTATGCATACACTTGACATCTTCCTGGATGTTGACTTCAAACTCCACCAGTGTCAGCATCCAGCTCCCTCAGAATCAAACAAGCAGTCAGATCTTGGTTTTATGGAGAGAATGTGATGGTATGTGCCTGGAGCATACAGAGATCATCTCTCACATGTTGTGAACACCTCCCATCCCCTCTGAGAACTTGCAAAAACACACATGCTGTGAAGGAGTCATATAATGTGGTTGTATCAGCCATCAAGAAGTTCCAGGACTCACACATATGCATTGCATGCTTATATGTTGTCACTATGGCACAATCAATGGCAATACTGGTCAGATGCCCTGTATTTGTGATGATGCAGAGGATGGAGTGACAATGGAAGCAAACAGGACACTTGATTGGCACTGGTGGTAATGAGTTGTTGCTGTTGCTGAAGACAGTCAATTACAGCTCCTCACTGCCCAATCAAGTGAACTCACTTTGTTGATCTGGGGAAATAGAGCCTTCCGATGCTACATGTAAATTAGATCCTAGAAGATGCATTAGGTCTGGTTGCATATCTGATATAGGTGTCTTACCTTTTGGATTTGGATACCATTGGAAGACAAGTCTTGCATTAGTCAAAGAGCAGAAGCAAATGAGTCTTGAGGAACAACAGAACCCAGTAGAGCATAGGAGTCTAACATAGTGCAAAAACCATGCAAGATGGCAAGCAGTAGCACAGCATGACTGCACCTGCAGTCATATACATTCCTAATAACTTGTAGTCAATTTACTGGTATTGCATTTATGTAACTCACCTTCTTTGTGCAGTGTAGCAATATTACTTTTTAACAACAATGGTATCTGGTGCAATGGGCTGTGCCTGCCTTTGACTGCCCACTCACCAGAGCTTGTGATAAGGCTTTCAGAATGGTTTTGACAATTGCATGTAATGCAGGGCCATTCAAATTTACTTCTACAATTCTGCTCAGGTGGACCTGCAATTGCTCAAGTACTAAGAGTTGTACAAAGAAACATCCACCAAAGTAGCAACTTGCCATACCCTCCTACCAGACCATCTTGGAGTTCTGCTGTGTAAAGATCAGACAAAGCATGACTGGAAGCCTTGGAAACCATGTTGTATATTCCAGTAGAGGCAAATTCAGAATTGATAAGTGAGTGATATGTTATCTATTGCAGTATTGCTATGGTTTTCAATCAGCCTGGATCCTGACCATTTGAACTTCAAAACCATGACTCATTGTTATGTGGGAGAAGCAAGATTTTTTTTGAGCAAGCCACATGGATGAACAACTTCAAGCTGTCTTCCTATTTATATTAGAATCTGCCTACAGACATACAGAAAACTATTCTCCATAGTCTATCATTCATTAATCATGATTACACTGTTTTAATACAAAAGTCATTCCTCATCATCGAATGAGCCCAGGACCAAAACTGGCTACCATTAATGGGATTATGAGGCCCATCCCAACCATGAGTGCCAGTATGCATCCAATCCTTGTAGAGAAAGATAGTCCAAATTCAACCATAAATACACCTGTGAGAAATCCGAGGATGGAAAATGCCAAACTGCAGTGGTCCCATAAGTAATAAGACATCTTGATACAAGTTTTGATTACCTTGTCAGATACAAAAAACTTGGTATACTTGTGATGATCACAAGACTGGCCATCTTCCCTTGAAGGTAATACACCTGTCAAATTGGTGATGTCAGGTCCATGTTACAAAAAAAGAAATCATCTGAACTGCAAAGTCAAGGGATTTTAATCTGTGGTCAAAGTGTTGTGCTATTGTGCACCCAATCATACAGTAGAAACTGAGAACAAAAGAGATGGAGCACATCATTTTTGTAGCAAATTGCATGCCTAAACCTGGTACAGCAAGGATGCTGGCATTGACTGCCATGATAATGCTTGCCTGTCAGAGAAGACAAAGTCATAGTGAGCATGTTCATTTGGGTCCATGACAGAGCACTTATGATGGTTGTTTGAGCTTTAGCCTGGGCACTAAAATCATCAGTAAAACTCCTGATATCCACCCCATTCACAAGGCCATCAATGTAAATCTTTTTAAGGCATTTGAGTACCATTAATGGAACCAAAAACATGGCAATTGCAATGCCAGTCATAAATGGAGAATCTTCAATGTCTCTATGTTTTTCAGCTAGTGAGTGTATTTGCATCAAGCAAGCTTTGGGCTGGCCATGATGGTTCAAGTATTCATGATGACCTGTTTCAATTGCTCAAATCAATGATGTCCAGTATGAGAAAATGACATCATATGGAGTATATGCAATATTTTGCCTTGTGAAAGATAAGTTTTATGATTCAGTTTTTATAAAGCTCATGCACCACAGATTGTGATACCTGGCCCATTCATGGTCCCATCAGGTTCTGCGAGTTTCTCTGTGTCAGTCATCAATTTGATAATATTAATGCATGTTGAGAGATGAGGTGAAGGTACATGCTATCAATGGTCAGCTCAGCAGTCATTTCCTTCATCTGGTCTAGAGTCCAGAATATTGAAACTGCTGTTGATTGCTCAATGGCCAATGCTTCTGGTTGTTGTTCAGTCATTTTGATTGGGCTCTACAATGCTAAATAACTCACCCACATGATACCAGTTCAGCTGAATTTGCAAAGCTCTTATTTCTGAAAGAGGGATTGTGATTTCATGAGGAAAATATTCAACATGTTTCCTACTTGATCAGTAAGAGATGTTGTGTCATTATAACAACCTTTGTCAATGGCTCACCAATATTGAGCCTCCAGTTTGAGCCCTGTACAATCAAGTCCAAGAATTAATGTGCAAAAAGTGATGTACTTTTATGGTTCCAGTGCAACACCATCAATTCCTGGAAAAGAAGGTAGCCATTTACTGGCTCTACCCAGGTAATGATATGATTCTCTGGGACAACATAATAGTATGGATAGATTTCCTTTTCTCTCACTATCATTGGCTCCATGACTAGCAGACATCACTTTCCATTTAGCTTAGCCCTTGAAGCTTCAATCCAAGACTCAAACCTCCAGAGCTGTTCATCTGAACAAGTCCTCAAGTTCATTTTGACATATGTTCACTTTATTATCAGGAAGTAAGTGTGTAACTTCAAATACCAGCCTGCACCCACCATTTTTGCATTATAGTTATATGTGGCTACTGACAGGTGAACCAACTCAGTCCAACCACCATGCACTTCAGATCTGTTGATGTCATCACAAAGGAAGGTCACTAACTGAGATAACTCAATCCACATTGCATTGACCTCATAATCATGATGTGGAGAATTCCTATTTTATTAGGTGAGTACTTGGTGTATGTGCTATAATGATCACACTCACAGTGGTGACCTTGCCACTCCAGTGTATCACCCAAGCTGCATTGGCCAGATTGGGACACTGTAATCGAGCAGCTCCAAGGTCTGTTAATAAACTCTTTCAGCTGGGGTCTTGACATCATGACCTAGACAAACAGCTTTAGAGCCCATGACTAAACACAGTATGTACCATCATGGTCATGGCCATGGTTCAACATTCACATAATGGTAGTCTGTGCTTGGTATTTTCATATTTCACTGATCATAATTAAATAGTTCTGCTGGGAACAACCTGGAAACCAGGGATATAGTTAGCAACCATGCAGTTGGAGGGATGTAGCAAGGGTAAGTAGCATCATTATGGTACTACTGTGTGCTAGTGTCATATCCGCATATCCAGACCTCAGATCTGACCCTTGTCTCATCTCAGATCCACATCTTATCTCCAATCCTATCCACATCTTATCTCCCTCCAACATCTCATCATCCAATCTGTTCCACTTGTCCAGTCTGGTCCACAACTCATCTGAATCCACAACCAGCACTCGTCTCCTTTCGGTAACCCCTTAACTCCGGTATTTCGGTTATCTGTATATCCATCCTGCTCCCTTATCCGCTACCTATGTTTCATTTCTGTTTCATGATTTGTGATCTGTTTCTACTTACCAATAGACTATCCACATGCTTCGTACATAGCCTCAGACTCTGCTGATTGATCATTCCGTTAGATACCTATAGTATATAACCTCCTGTAACTTTCTGTAGTACCTCAGTTTGAATATCATCTTAGTTCTACTCATTCCTGTCCTCTGGACTTGAGTACCTCTACTCTTGTCACCCTCCGAGGCTTAGGATTGATTCCTATAGTCTATTCATATCCGCCTCTGTTCCCAACAGTCCATTACCATTAGTTTCTAGTCTGGACTCATCTGGATTAGCCTTGTGATACTTATCTCTCATCCAGAAGTCATTCGGATCCATTACGCTACTCATCCGACCTTCTGGACGCGCTAGTCTTGCCTTCCTGAAATAAGGGGCAATACTCAGGTAAGGGGCACAGCGCACGAGCTGAGGCCAAAGCCCTTCAGATCTAGTTACCCTTTGAGTACAACCTTAACAGCTAGCCTGAGTATGTACATAGTCCACAAAAAAATCAGATTGATCATTGGCACAGTGCCTGAGATATTGTACAATTGCTAAATTATGGTATGGTTGTTGTAGTGCTGAGGTGTGGGGGATTGAAGATATGCTACAACTATGCATAGTGATAGTGATGTGGGTATAGGGATGCTGTACACCTGCATGACACCAAATCTAAGTTATTATAGCTACATGGAAGGGCATGTGTGATCATGATAGTGCTAACAAAAATTGTATAACTTGCCTGAAGTGTTGTTTTTGCCTTGTTTACAGCACACATAAATGTGGTTCTGATTACTGCAGCCAGATGGTGCAGAGGTGGGATGGTGACTGATTGAACAGGATGCTAGATATCTCTGGTAAGCCCATTTGTGACTTCAAGAAGTTCCTGATAGACTTACCAAATTGAACCACATGTCAACCTGAGTCTGATGAAAATTGTGAATTACTGGTCGCTGATTATGATTGTTACTTACTAAAATTCTTCTGCCTATCATCAGCAATGATCCCATACAAGCTGTGTGATTTGTGTGAGACATTCAAGTGTTATGATATGTTATGATATGGGGACTGACAGCTTGACAGGGGCTATTTACCATAAGTGATGCAAATGGAAGTTGTATATTAGCATGGGTAAAGCAGATTGTCAATTATCTATAACCAGAACTTCAATCACTTGAATCAGTGAAGTGCCAAACAACATCAAACTTACATAATTCAGTAAGGCCCATCCTTGATACCCCATGGACTCAAGTGATAGAGAACTTATGATCTTGATACAAATAAGCGACCAGATGTCACCATTTTTATTTCTCAAGCCACTAACTTCAATTCAGCATGTTGAATTGACTGACTCATGTTCACAGCACCTTGTAGTGACAGCATATCTGACTCTTTTGCCTCAATCACTGGATCAGTCTGTTGTTGGGTGCACCAGGATGCATATATGCATCACATTGCTGGTCCTGGGGTAGCACAGAGTTGTATGACTGTGTAGGGAGATCAGAGGAAGTAAAAGCAGTCAAAGGTTACATGCTACTGCCCAGGGCAAAAGTATAGTGTATTGCAGCTGGTCCCTGAGTAGGCAATGATGGTCTCAACAACTTAATATTGTATTGCCATGTCTGATGGGTGTTGCAATATGTGCATTAGGCTGGCAAGTGAATATGACTTTTAAAGCTGTGCATTTTGGCAGTTTCTGTCCAACTAAGTCCAAGTATTCAATTTCCTGTAGGACTGGACCTAATCAGGGTAGGGAGTCTATTTCTATGTATATTTAGGGTGTACCTATGACCTAGCTACTTCAGAATATCTACAATGTCCTTCCATAGGAACATGAATATATAATATCGCATTTTTGACATGTTTGATGTGTTTCACTCCCTTACTCTTACACAAATAATCCAACCTGCTCATATATCATCAGTGATACATATATCAATGCTTTGAATACCAAGGATCAGCTCAAAATAGGCTGGAGTTTTTAGGTAGTGTGTATACTTGCTATTTCTGCTGATAAGGGGCCTATACCTTCAAAACATCAAGGTTTAATAATTGGACACCTGGAGTACATTTCAAGTATATGACAGCATCATGTCTAGAATCTTGTTGGTCCACAATACTTCTGAGGAAGTCACACACCTGCAGCAAATCACACAACATTTTTAACAGGTACAATTCTGCCTCCTGACAATTGGAGAAACCTGCCTGCAGGGATGGGTCTTCCATGACAAGCTTTGCTAGCTCATCTGACAAGGTAGCCATATTGGACTTGAGTCTGACAATGTCGCAGGAGGGGGATCAGGGATCTGCACCAGTGAATGCTTCATTGGTGCCTGCTTGAAAGTTGTTGGGGGTAGTATTTTGGAGGTTCTCACCTGGATGGTCCCTGGATGTGGTATGCTGGTTGTCTACCTAAGTGGGACTATGATTGTATGGGGCATTACAGTGAATCTCCAATATGTCCATTGTTGCAGGTGCAGTTGTAGGTGGGGAAAAATTCGCAGATGCTAGAGTAGGGGTGGCTGGAGGGCTTAGGTGATGACACAGGCCTGAAGAAGTAGGTGGTGAAGTTAAAAGGAGCAGAGGGTGGCCTGCAAGGGATCTGTCAGAGGTTATAGGTAGAATGTGTGACCCACCTAGTAAAATATGTTTAGATGCAGATGTTGAGGGACTGTGGACTGGTGTAGGGAACAAGAATCCTCTAGGCATATATTGTGCATATTTCGACTCACAATGATTGGTACAGTGCATCACTCACTGTCTATAACTGTCCCGCAAAATGCACCAGAGGCACAACACTTTCCTGCATTATGCGACACATTCCCATGCACGCACTTGGTGCGCTCTTCCCGCGCTCGGTCCCCCTTTGTCATGCAGCATCCCAGAGCATCCATCCATCGTCCAACCAGTCCCCTGGTGCATCTCTTTCCATTTATTTTCATTATCAGACTATATTTGGCATCATATGATACTATATTTCATCATGGACCCTTACTTACATCACTTACATACATAGAGTGCTCCCTGTTCGCTTCTGAGCCCTGGGAGTGCACCTAGGCACAGCTTACCTGTTGCCTAGGAAGTTTTGATAGACAAACCACCACCAGATACACCTACCAGAAAATACACAAACCACCATCATGTCACTTAGTACTCATAGTGAGAATCATCATCCTCAGTCAGCATGCTTCAGTCATTGAGAGTGGACAAAAGAACTCAGTGAGAACAATAACAGGAACATACAAGACAGGCAGTTGGATGCTTTTGGCTGCAGTACCCTTGCTATTCCAACACTCCCCCTCAAGGTGAGCACAGTCCAAGTTTGACAGTGAAGTGCTTGACTTTTGGTGAGGGCAATGCTTTGGTTAATGTGTTGGCAACCATGTCTCCAGTTGGGCAATAGATAAGACATAGTTTGTTGTTGTCTATGACCCATCAGATGAAATGAAAACAAATGTCGATGTGCTTGGTTCAAGCATGGTATTGGTGATCTTTGGTAAGGGTGATAGTGGATTGGTTGTCAGAAAAGAGGGTGGTGGGCTTGGTGATAGGAGTGAACAGCTCTCCAATGAGAGATCAAAGCTGCAATGCTTCTTTCATTGCATGGGTGGCTGCCATGTATTCGCTTTCTGTAGTTGAAAGGGAAATGATATCTTGGCACTTTTAAGACCATGAAACAGCTCCACCATCAATGAAAAAGGCATACCCTGAGATAGCCTTCCTGTCTTCAGCCATACTACCATCTGCATCTGCATATCCAATCAATGCTCCTTCCACTCCTCCTTAAGTCAATTTCAAGTCTTTTGTCCCCAGAAGGTACTGGTAGATGCATTGAACAGCATCCCAATGGGCCATTCCTGGGTTTCTGGAGAAGCATGAAACTGTTGCCACCACATAGGAAATGTCTGGTTGGATTCCAAGTGATGCATACATAAGAGATCCAACAGCTTCTCAATAGGGTATGTGTCACATGGCTGCAAATTCAGTGCCTGTGGATGGTGACTGACTGGAATGTAACTTGGTACTGGGTTACATAGGGTTTGAAACAGGCTTGAGATCCTCAAAACTGAAATGACAAACAATAGAGTCAATGTAGAAACATTGTAACAAGGAAATGGTGCATTCATCACAATTCCATGTGACTTTGATTCTGAGCAACCAGTGGAGTTTGCTGAGGTTGGTGATTTCCACATACTGTTAAGAACCATGCTCAAGGGAGAGAGAGACTGACTCAGAGGGGCTTGGCCTCAGCACATATGCTGTGCCCCTTACCCGAGTATGTGCCCTTCATTTCAGAGGAAGTCCGATGATGGTCTGACAAAGTCCAGAGGACTTCCAGAGGCTGGCTACTCTGGTGGAGAGTGTGGGAGGACTTCCGGAGGAGTGCAGGAAACGTCCAGAGGAGCGTGGGAGAGTTCCGGAGGGATGCAGGAAATGCTCAGGAGAGTTCCCACTGCAAGGTAATACTTCTACAGGAAAACAGGATGGAAGGATAGGAGGTCTGGAGGACAGGAGGACAGGATGTCCAGAGGTCCGGAGTACAGAGGACAGGAGGTCTGGAGGTAT